TCAACATCTGTCTTGTATCCTTTCAGCTCTTTTAGCTCTCACCAATGAGATAAAGTCAGTCCAATATTTACTCTTGTCAAGTCTCTTGCTCAGTCTCTCTCTTTTTCTCTTCCTTGTTTCCTCCGAAGTCTTCTTAGGCCTCTTTGCAGCCTCTGCCATGATATCCATACTGAGAATACCAAGCTAGCTTCCAAAGAACCTACATAGTACATTTTAAACTTTTTGTTTCGTCATATAGCTTGCTTGCTGAAGAGTGGAGTATGAGTAAATATCCTACCCGGGATTCCGATGTTACATTGCACAGTATAGCTATAGCGCAGCGAGCCAGTAGTGGCAATGACAGAGCCATTCACTCTCTTACAAATCAGTGTTCCATCAAAATAGATTGCTTTAAGTATGTGTGTCTCGTATTTAGATCAATTTATTTCAAGGCTACATGAATAGGCGGTGATTAAATTTTGTGCACACTTGTTTTTGTTCATTCATGATTGGATGGGACAATTCAGGTCATCTGTGCAGCGTGCAGGTATACACCAATATCAGAGCTATTCCCTTTATTTTTGCCAGAGCATCTATTCACAGTCAGGGGAAAGAGAACATTTTGTATTCTGACAGACGCAGTTTCTCAATGACCATAGAGTCACTGTGGGGGTATACATGTGAATTTGCCACATTTTGGGCTCACAGAATAAAGTGAAAATGGGAGAATACAGTTGTCTCTCCTCAGGACATTTAAGATAAACTCTCAAAGAAGATAACACTCTGTCTGGATGGCGTGTGGTCAAAAAGAGAAATTAATTCTTTTAGAGGATGATTAGTCAGACTCCTTTGATAAATTGGAGTGGGGATTATGTATGGTCTGCTTTTCTTTAGAGATTGGTTACTTCATTCTAGTACTACTCTATTTGTCTCGATTTCAAGCTGAGCCAAGTGGTTTTGATAATATATTTACAATCGCTATATATTCTGGCTTTATGGTTGTATATACCTCACTGGACTTGATAAGCCATCTATTATATTTCTGGCCCATGCGGCACTTAAGCATCTGTGATCCGTGAATGGTTTGTGACAGAGTATAAAATCCACAACAAATTGTGGCTCTATTATATTACACAATACAAACTTTTTATATGAAATATACTACACACCACTCACCAGTCAAGATTTTTTGCTCAACTTGGCCTTTGATCAATAAATAAAGCTTTTAGGGGAGACACAGTATTAGCTAAAATTGTTTTGGCACCTTATTTAAGAGTGTGTTTGCCTCCTACGTGGTGGCAACATGTTTTTTTCAGCAAGTGTCGGCTGGAAAGCCCCTCTTTCTAAAGTAAACAGATGGAGCAGGGACCTCAGGTGGATACTGAGGTATTGTTATTCTACAAACAATAAGATCACACCCAGGGAAGGAAAAAAACACACAGCTGGAGGCTCTCAATGATTCAAACTATACTACCAATAAGACATTTTGTAGGGAAAAACAATGTGAAAAATAGCTGCTGCAAATGTCAATCTGCCTGGTTTTATAAATTGCATCCCCAGATGTAATCCATTTTAATACATGATTGTCAAGTACCCTTGTCCCTGCGGCAGCATTTCTATTCTGTGGACGTGTACTTGATAAAGTATTTCCTTTTGCCCCGCCACCACATTATACACAGAATGACACACACTGTGTCCTGCAATCATTGATATTTAATGTTTTGTTTTCTAACTGAAATATTTGTCACAGACTGTCACGCTGTGGATTTTGGCCAGAGGCTGACCATTTGTCGCCGTTCTGACACAAATCACCGGAGCAGCAATTCTCAATCGACAGGACTTTGGGCTATGCAGTGGATGGATAAAGTGTGTTTTGTATTACAATTCAGGAACTTAACAACAGCTAATTGGCTGTAAACTGAGAAGAGAAAGTAATTGTAATTCACATTTGAATTTTTATTTTGCCTACCTAGAAGGCTGTTATTCTCAGTCACTTGTATAACAGAGGCAAATTATGCATAATTTAGCAACAGCATTCAGTTCTTGTTTTGTTTCAATTATTTATTCAAAACCCGCTGAACAATTAATTTATAAAAATATCTTTACATTGGCCTAATCTATAATTGTCTATAAAATACCTTAATTCTCTGAACCTTATTCCAAAGCCTGAGTGTGACTCTTGCAGGACTATTTAATGATGCATTTTAATTTCCAGATTCCAACAAACGTTATGGTAGAGAGATTACTTACATTTCATGTGATTTTCTAATTTTTCTCATCTCTATCTTAACATTCATCTCCTGCGCTTTTGTGTGCTAATCAGGCGTGTGACATGACGATGTGACAAGTCTAAAACTGTTGGTGCCCTGGTTGTGGATGTTAATGCATATAAATGAAGGGATATAGTCCCTCATGAAAAGTAAACAAGCAGAGAATGCAGTGTGGCTGAACTAAGGATTAAACAGATTTGCTGTAGTGATTGTGTACCTGTATTAGTGGGGGACATCTTCTACTCTTCTTCTCTTTGCTCCTAAGAGTTTAAACTGTGTGTCCAGTACTGCAAGATCTTTTGCTGCGTCATAAATCGCATCACACCTTATTGACTCATGTTAAGGGGGTATTCCAAAGGTTTAGTATTGCACCAGAAACAGGTTATGAATGGTCAAAATTGTTGTATTTTGGGTGTTTTAATACATTTTTGTTCTTAGTCTAAGTCAGGCTAGTTTGTTGCAAGGTTGGAAATCTTGGGAGGAGCATTGTTTGACTATCACATGAACTGGTCTTTGGAGGTAAGATTCAACATGGCAGCATCTTAGTGGGCATTAACACCTACCTCATTTGGTCTAGACTTTGACCCAAACTAAAATTACAGGTGTGAAACCCCTCCCGGACCACGGTCTGGACCAAACATACAAAATTTGGTCAGATGAAAAGAAGTACTCTCAGTCTGGATCAAACTAAAACATGGTTCTGTTTGTTCCTAGTGTGAAAGCATTTTTTGGATGGTTCAGACAAGCCATTTACAGGAAATTTGGAGGTTCCTGTGTAAACCAGAAACAAACAAATTCACAGAGAAATGCACTGAAATAAGGACACAATTATAAATCTCCCGTGAAAGCTCATCTTTTAAACCTTGCTTGCTGTCTTCTCCTCCTTTCCTGCCAATTGCAACGATATAATGTTCACACAACAAGGACTTTAATTTGGCAAATTTGAACTAGCCTCAAGTTAAGTTGGTGCTGCATGTAGTAATGCCATGATAATAACGCAGTCTCAATGATAATGTATCTGTTTATCCCTCATTCATTCATTCTTATCAAAGCCACCTGTGGAACTGTTTACAAACCAATCAATGTAAAGTATAGGGAGACACAGCCCACATAGATGGATGCAAGTATGTCATGTAAAAGTTCTTTAGTGCGCTCACCGAATTGCAATGTGAGACCAAACCAAAACTAACCGAATGTATCAAAATGTATCAACACATGAACATGGTTCCAACCTTAGTGTGGCTTTTCATGTGTGAAAGGACCCTTAGAGACAGAGCAGCTAGCAGCTACTCAAAGAAAATGTATTTTATGTAGGAAAAACTAAAGCACCAATCAGCCCACACCAACCATTCCTCTGCTTCTCTAAACCCACTGCAGAATAATCTCAGTGTCATTTAACAGACTTGGAAGCTTTCATTAACCACTGTTATTTTGGGCAAAAGTACACCAAAATCATCCCAAAAAAACCCAAAATGATTTAGTAGCCCAGAATTTGTACGCAACGACATTGCATCTATTGAAAAAGCAAACAATTCACTCCATTCCTCTGTTGAATCACAGACTGAAATTGTCACTTATGAAAAGAAACTGATTATATAAACGATTCTGGACTGGAAATATCTGAGACAACTTCATATTCAACACGTGAGTGGAAAGTGAGCAGGGAGAGCAAGCGAGGGGGTTTTGGATGGAGCGCAGAACAGATTTTTTAAAATGCTAAGTGTTGCCTCATCTCCAGCTTGAATCATGCTCCAGTACCGCTTCTTTTGGGGGCAAATGAGTGTATAGAATATTATCTCTTGGTTAGACCCTCCCTGCCTGGTAAACACCAATATCTTTAAAACTCCATGTGAACAGTTTTTTATGTAGGCTTTCTGTTAAAAATGTGTAGTGTCTAGAACAAATTGAGATATCCCTGATGATATCATTTGGGTTATTTTGAGTTCAAAATGAATATATAAACATATAAAAATGTTTTTTGACTAAAGCATAGACGCACATTCACTTCATTAAGTCTAATAATCAGTCACTTTTATCTCAGGGTCCGCCATACCTTGTCTCAAAGTTGGGTCTATTTGGCTGTTATATTTTCTACACCATGTATATACATAGATTTTGTAGTACACATTTTGTGCAGTGGAGCTCAGTGCATGGTAGTATGACTAATCCTTTCACATTATTTGATTTTAATGGCTCTTACACAGATGGGTTCAGCATTCACTTTGAGTTGTCAGTAATTGTTTAAAATATTAGGCATCTTATTAAAAGTCAGTAATTTGTTTTCTTTCTAAGGAATTATTGGACTGATAGTAATCTAGGAATCACCATAATGCTAGACCTCCCCCACTTGGTATGACAGCAGAACATATCTTGTTAGGCTATTTTTGGCAGAAAGCATTTTAGTTTTTGGCAGCCAAGAGAGTAAGACTTTATGGTTTTGATTCATCCCCATACAATCTAAAATACAAGGAAGGCAGAGCACACTGCCCTTCAAAATGTTGACAATTTGTCCTGATCTCAGCTCTTGTTGAAGGGTATTTGTTTTATTTTGGCAGGGTTATTTGTTTTTTGTTTTTTTGTCATTTTAATGGTGGAATATTTGTTCTCCTGAGCTGCCAACCCCCATATAACTATGACTCAAACATTGATGCGGCATAACAAATGTGTCTTTGGTGCGTGGAACATTTCCTGCTTTCATATCCTGCTCTGCCGTAAGACTTCAGCTCGAGTGTGTGTGTGTCTTCTCTGCAGAAATACGTGAGGCCTTCAAAGTATTTGACCGTGATGGGAATGGATTCATCTCAAAGCAGGAGCTGGGAATGGCCATGCGCTCCCTTGGCTACATGCCAAATGAGGTGGAGCTGGAGGTCATCATCCAGAGACTGGACATGGACGGTGAGGCAAACACACAGCTTGGATTTTATTATCTTGAGTCACAGAGCACAGGAGCAGTTTGCTCTCTTTGTGCTCACAAAGCTGGACTGTAGTAGGCAGTAAAACCAACGACAATAAATACCAACTGCTCCTCTTTTCCACAGGTGATGGCCAGGTGGACTTTGAAGAGTTTGTCACTCTTCTGGGCCCAAAGCTGACGGCAGCGGGGTTGCCAGATAAGTTCCACGGCACTGACTTTGACTCTGTTTTTTGGAAGGTGCTCATTATTCAGTTACTCCTTTCCTGACTATTAGAGAGAAGACAGCAGAGTCGCAGCTGTAGCAAATCTCCAAGCGCAGAAACATTTAGACTCCGCCACTGTATGACTTTAAAAGAAAACCAGTTTTAATTGCCACATCCACTGGGTTGTTAAAGCGAGGATTTGAATCTTGGAGAGGTTTGGATTCCCTTAAGAACTGTGTTCTTCATCAAGACTTTGAGGTGATATCTCCGCCTTTTTGTGTGTGGCGACAGTCTTATTACTTAGAGCATTAACGTCAATTTTTATGTAAAATAGATATTAATTTATTTACAGACACCTCATTAGATAATCAATTGCTCACTTTGACAGTGGGATGAAATGAATGGGATGGAGCTTGTGTCAAAGCTGCCTTTGTTGGTAGGTGATAACAGCGCCAGAGTGGCTGTCAGAAAGTGAGGCTCCAAATAGCACGTGAAAGAGAGGGGAATTATGGGAATTCTTGGTGCCGTCAGTGTACATAAAAAGAATCACAACCAAAGACACCTGCTGGGAGAGTCGAGAAACCTGAGGGACTCTTGCAAAGGCTGCATAGCTTCACATATTATTATATGTGAACAGTAGTATCACGCGTGTGTTGCTGGATTGATCACATAGAGCCTCTGGTCACACTCAGTCTAAGCTGAAAATGAGTAACATGGATGAGCTTTTCAAACAGGCACAGATCATGGATTGGCATTTATGTAGGGATTGTGCTGGTCTTAGCCATAACAGATTATTTTTTCACTTAACTGGGTGGCGATGGAGCAGTGGATAAGACACATGCCTCTGGTGTGGGAGACCTGGGTTTCATTCCCACTGCAACATCCACCAATGTGTCCCTGAGCAAGACACTTAACCCCTAGTTGCTCCAGAGGTGTGCAACCTCTGACGTATATAGCAATTTTAAGTTTCTTTGGATAAAAGATTTTTGCTCTACTAATTTTATCCGACAGCTGGACTTTGCAGAACACAATTTTACAAAACAGGTTAGGGTTAGGATGATCTGGTTCTAAAATACGATGCATAGATTAAATTACCCAACAGTATGTAAGGGGTTGAAATTAGTTCCACCTGCTAACTACACCAGTAAAAATCTGCTCACACACTAATGTATTGGTAATAACAATATAATGCAGTTATATAATATACAGCATGGCACTGACAGGAGCCATACTCCATAGTGTGTACTTTATGTACATTTTGTTGCCCATACTTCTGCACGTTTATATAAAGTAGAATTTTCCACCATGATGCAAGTTTGGTTGCAATGCTTTGATGCCCAGTAGACAAATCACACTGCTTAATTATCAAAATAGGAAAAATATGAGTGGATGTGTACTTAGAAGTTTAACTTTCTGCACATTCTATTTTTTTTATATTTATATAAATCATGTTTATATTTTATGTGTATTTCATACTATTTTTGCTATTATTGTGTACTTTTTTCATTTTTATGTGTTATATGTGTGTTCTTGCATACTGTATGCATGTGTGTGTTTGTGGTATTGTTTCCACCACTGTGTCCATGTTAATGTTCAGTTATGTCTATGTATCTCCAGTGTGACATGCAGAAGTTAACGGTCGAAGAGCTGAAAAGGCTTCTGTATGACACCTTCTGTGATCACCTTTCCATGAAAGACATCGAGACCATCATCATGACTGAGGAGAACCACATAGAGAACCCTGGGGAGTGCCAGGTGGATATAGACAGTAAGGAAGAACCTCCTACTTCTGATGTGTGATGCATTTAGCATTTCATGGACAATTTTGCATTTGATGATATAATATTCACATACCTGTCACAGATCCAAACTAGAATACATATGTCTATATTTTATTAGTGTATGTTAAACATCAATGGGTGACTTCACCCAAATATAAAAACTGAACATGGTCCAGTACCACAAAGGTTATGTGAAAAGAAATGCTTCTTATGAGCCAGTGTTTTGAACTATTGGTATGGGGATTAATCAGTGTCATTGTAAATGTACAAATGACTGTCAGTCACCAATATACATGACAATTTGTAAACACAAAACACGATCTACAAATAGATTCAGAATCGACAAACAAACTCTTCATGATCCACAAATAGAAATCTAATCAAAATCTAAAAAATAGTAAAATTATTTGTCTGCGTGTGATGGTGATATTCTATTTGTAGATTGTTTCACTTTTGTTACAAATTGCAGTTGCTACAAATGCACGCATCACAGTTTACAAACACAATCTAACTTGCATTTTCAAACCACAGTGGATCACAGTGTATTTGCAGATCGCTTCCTACAAATAATATTGACACTAGTTTACCAAAGATAATGTGACTATGATCCACAAATATAGCCAGCCAATCAGTGGTGTTACTTCTATGACATGCCCCCTAAATAAGCCTTTCAAAATTAGAGCTGAAACGTGTCGCAACATGTACATCATCTACTCTTTATCCATTCCTTTATTTGTGTTCATGGGCATGATAACTTAAGTGCTGAATAATTATTTCCCTGTCCTCGTTTGGTTGGTGAAGTGTGACTCTGGAATACAGTTTAATATTTACATATTACTATGTATGTGTTTACTAAGCCATGCAGATTGTGTTATTTGCTCTGTAATATATTTATATCTATCTATCTATCTATCTATCTATCTATATATACTGTATATATTTGTCACAAATATATCTTTACATAAAATTTGATAGTGACAGTAGAGATACACACAGGAAGCATGGGAGAGAGGGAGAGAGTGTGTGTTCACTTTTTTCAAACATCATTTTATCTTGGCTTCGAGCACCACAAATAGATTTTATTCACTTTTGTTATATTAAAATCTTAGAGGTAGATATAATAAATAAAACCCAAGCAATGTGCATGGCTCGAGTCAGTAGTTTGTGATTTGGGTGAATTTACCATTTAAGATGCAAGCAGAACTCTTCTTAAAATTACATCAAAGATGACATAGCAAGCCATATCAAGCCATATCATGCTTAGTCTTTCACCACACTCCAATGACAATATATCAGTAATAATGCTTTTTAAAATGACACATTTCACCCTTACTGATTCCTCAACTTTTCTAGTCTCACTTTTTTCCACCAAAGTCCAGCAATCGCTTAAGGAGAATTGTGTTGTTGAAACAGCAGTGATACCAATTTTTCACATCAGCAGCCTCAATTAATCATAATGTACTTCAGCAGTGTCTGAAATACTGTGCCCTTTTAAGCAGCTGTTTTGTAATTCGAGCAACTCTGTGCAGCAAATGGCATCTTCCCCTCCCCCCTCTCGCTTTCTCCTCACCTGATAAAATTACCACACTGTTGCTAAACTCTTTCCACCTACACACACTGTCTGGAGCTCATTTGAAAGTCATTGTCAGAATTGCAGGAAATCACTAAATGAAGTAGAAGTAGAGGCAGTTTTAGGGAAAATGGCCACAGTATAAAGGTAAATTCCACCTCTTCAGTAAATTATTAAAGTATTCCTTTAATGGTTAATTTACAGGCTGTTAGGATTCTTTGTTTTTATATGATAATCTATCTAATGTACTCATATAGGTTTAATGATGGTTGGAGCCATTACAAACCATCCTATTTGCAATGACAAATATCTTTTCTTTTCTATTAGAAAAACACTCAATGATACATCAAAAGCAAGATCAATTTTAAGCAGTTTGAAATATTTGTTTTGCTTCAACTGCCTTGGTTCTTCAGATGATTCTGCTGGTATGTGACACGTTTTCTTGGAGCACTGGTGTTTTGATGAGCATCCTTTAATTTGCCAGTCAGGTGCCAATCCATTTGTTTGTTGTTTCAAAACTCCAATCAACATTTTAATCCAGATGCAGTTAAGCAGCGTACAGGTGTGAAAACAAATATTCTTGGCAGTTTCATCTTTTTTTTGTGTGTGATTGTGTTCATGTAATTGTAAAGTTTTGTGATGAACTTGTTCACTCATCAGATATCTTTCAAGCATTAAATAACACCTGATTCAATGGATCTTCACATAATTTTTTCTCCTTCCCTCCCACCTCTTCTTTTCCCCCAGCTTCCAGCCCGACGCAGCAAGTCAAGCAAACTTGTGTGCGCAAGAGCCTCATCTGCGCCTTTGCCATAGCTTTCATCATCAGCGTCATGCTCATCGCAGCCAATCAGGTGCTGCGGAGTGGCATGAAATAGGAACTGTGGCATTTTCAGCCTTGAACACCACCTAAAGGCTGCCTTACAGATACAGATAAAGCTAAAAAAACAAAAAACAAATAACAGACAATCGCACAGCTGTAAAACAGGCCAACATATGACCGTAGAGTAACTGGAGTTACCAAGGACACTACATGTGCAGGAATTGCTGACATGCTGACAACTTACAGAGCTTCAAGGACAACAGGACCTCACATGTGTTTAAAGTGGACAGCTGACTATACATATCACTCTTCGTAAAACAACATTTAGTATTCATTAGCTGTGTGCACTCGAGCAGTGTTTTCAGTATGGTGGCAGCTATAGAGAGAAGTGTAGTGTCCAGTTTTGTATTTGTCCAGTGTACCATGTGGTTTATTATAAACGAGTAGAAAGAAATCTGTGAAATATTGTAATGACATTGGAGAAAATTAGATAAGAAAGTGCAGTTATGTGCAAGGTCTGGAGTGCAAAGTGTTGTGGAGCTGTTGTATGTGTTGCAACATAGTTCAGAAACCACTTGGGAATAACAATACCTTTGTAAGAAACAGATAAAATGGTTTGCAGGGAGGTGCATGTCATCGTGTGGACAGTTTTACTCATTCACTGACTGCAGGGCTTCAGCGTGAGAAGGATGGAGCGGGATGAAGCAGGTGAATGGCTCTCAGGAGGAAGGTGCAATCTGAATGCACAGGTAACTGGCTGGACATGCAGTGAACACTCAGCTCTCTCTGTCTCCACAGCAGGGCCTTGTGGGCCTCAGAGAATGACCATCATCTATGCATGAAATGCATGGATTTAAACAGTTGTCTTGACACATTTGTAAAAGTTCTTATCAATGTATTAATCATTATGACTGTGTAACAGAGCTGTTTTCAATTACTTATGACAACTGTGAGCAATTATGTGTGGTGGGGATATCAGCAATTTCAGCAAAAGTAAAGCATACAGCTGCATGAAGAAGAAGGGCTGCTTTAGTACATGCTCGTAAAAAAATATTTTCGGGATTGCTAAACTATGGACCCTTTGCCCCGTTTGGGCACCTGATGATCATCAGTCACAGCAAACGACTCGTGCCACTCAACTATTTAAAGAATATGCATTGAAACTGATCTGGTTGGGAGTGCTGACACATACGCACAGGAATGCATTTTGTTCTTTTTTTTAAATTTCTTTTCTGTTTGGATGCGTTGCTATGGAGCAATAAATGTGTGTACAATAGACATCTCACAATGCTTTGAACAGATGTGAATCTTCAAAAGCGTTAGCACCAATGGACCTACTAACTTTTGAGGTCAGAAAATGTTCTATAGCACTTTTCAAATTAAGGTGTTGGCAATACATCAGAGACATTGGCCCAGATCAAACAGCGGACAACCCTCTTATTCAGTGAGATACAAAAACAGGTGAGTGGAAACCTGGGTGTCAGAAGCTGCCCAGGGCATTGCAGTTTGACAAGGGCCAAATGGTGTAAACTGTGGCAATAAAACATAAATATCTGTGAAGCACCACATGAATTTGATTGGGTGTAGTTTAGATTGTTGTGCATGCACCTGGGTAAGGTCTGTCACTATTGATGTGTATTGTACATAGAAAACAATTTCAACCAAAGCTTTAGAGGGGTCTGTGACAAGAGAACTGGGCCAAATAATGAGAGCAAGCTTCGTAAACAACTGATTAAATTAATATTTTACCAGTAATTATTTAGAAGAAACCAGAACCAGAAGTCAAAGATTCAATCTTACCTGAAAGGTAAGGTAAAAAGGCCCTTCAAAATGGTCTCAAAAACAAGATTAAATAAAAATTATTCACATGAATATCCCTTTTAAGGATCGTTATTGGCAGCTCCTCCAACTTGAATCTCACACAAGAGCCAGAACCTCATAGAGGCAACAAAATCTTCGCCCAAAGCCAGAAAGCATAACGACTATCTGATGCACCCAGGCAATTTGTCAAAAGTGTCAACTCTGTGCAGAACACAGTAAAAAAAAGATAATTTTTTTTTATTAACAAATATCTTTGTTTCCATTTTGCACTTGAAAATGTGCTGCAGCGCACAACAACAACTCACCGTCATGATTGTTCATCCATTTCCAAATATAGTTTAGGCATAAAGAATTACTTTACCATAGATATATCTATTTTTGTGATAAGAACGTGATGGAAAAGAATATTAACTGACTGACAAATTATACAAATTTTCATTAGTTTTCTATTATATCATCACTGAGGGAACATTTTCATGGGGAATAAAGTTATAATAATTAGATTTGTTGCCTTATTCTTTGAGACACTTTGGCATTGTGAATACACATAAAAACACCAATCATGAGTTTATTATTTATCACTCGAGCAAAAATGTACAAACCAATATTTATTTTCTTTTTACATGTGAAAAGAACTGTATGAACATGTTGATAGTCTGAATGTCCTATTTCCATTGTTCTGTACTTTGATACTTGTCTTTGGATGTTTGTTGACTATGTGATATCTGTTCATTGATTCCACCCGATGTTCTTCTTCTATGTCTGTGAAATGGTATTTCACAGGAATAAAAATCACGTAACAACCATGGTATGTGTCCGTGAAATAATTTTCGATTAATCAAATCCTCAATCAGGGATTGAGGCGACTGTGGAATGGTGAGGATCAGTTTCACTGTATTGATTGACATCCTGACATTTCAAATTGAAATCCACAGAAAGTGATCGATTGACCAAATTCATTGATTGCTTTATTCCATTTTGACATGCCCTTTGGCTTAGCTGGGGCTTAGCTTTTGGGTCCCCTCTGTCACATTTATCCCCAAATAACCACCTCTTATATCTCCACTAGTGATTGCAAGCTGTATTCTGGCAGTATAAAGGAGACTGACAGAGACTTTCTGACTAGAAAAATGCTGCTTTATACATACTGCATAAAATTGTCTACCTAAGTTATGTAGACCGACTCTTGTCATGTAGACCGACTCTTGTCATGAATAAAATTACAAAAGGTGCATTAAGTAATCAAAGACAGATGCATTCCCTACAGGTGTGCCATTCCCTTGAGCTGTGGTAGACTATAATGGTCAGTAAGCTAAAATCCAAGAGAAAAATCTTGTGAGCTGGTAATATATCAACATACAAATACTACCACTGCATGTACATCTGCTTTTTTGGCTGAATAAGGAGACATCTCAACCTTTTTAGCTGGTAAATGTTGTGATGATGTACTACTGTATGTTATGATGCTGCTCACGGCGCCATGTTCTGTCTTTGAGCAGCTGAAAATGCACGTAGGTGGTGTGAAGAGATTAGGAGTGTCTTGAATTGCTAGGAGGCAGACAGTTTGTGTCCCAAAACGGAGTTTAAACCAACCACTATGCTGGAAATCTAAGCTGCCTTTGATGTAATTGTGCAACCATTGATACATAGAGTTTTGATCATTTTGTGCAATAGGATGAAGCTTACTACGTCTGTTACATAAACAACACTTGACAAAAACATTTTAGTGGTCTTCACTGGTTTAAGCAAGTAAACCCTTTATTTTCTGCTGGTGTGACCAAAGAGTTGACATTCAATTTGTCCATTAAAAAGGTAAGTGTCTATTTACAGCAAACATGCACTTTTAATCAATCCCATAATCTCCATTAAAGTGAACAATATAACCTAAACAAAGAACATATACATGAGACAATTTTAAAAATAAACAAAATGAACTAACAAAAAGCTTCCCCAACACTTTCCTCTGGTCACACCTTTTGGGCACAAGTTTGGCTAGTGACAGAGACTGTCTGACAAGAAAAACTTTTTCTGACTAGAAATAGTTAATAACTCTACTACCATATTTTTAAAACAGTATTACAAAAGTTTTGAGACCTTTCAGTGGTATATATTTATATCATGCCATTCTGTCAATTCTCTAAAACACACCACATAAAAAACATATTTCACTATGTCCTGGAAGGAAGCCATCTGAAAAGGTTTGGTTCTGAAATAGCAGTGTCACAGTTTGTATGGGCCAAAAACACTTCAACACATGGCTTAGGTTGAATTAAAAACCCTGAAACATGTTGAGATATACAAAGTACACATCTGGAAATATGGGATACATAGGAAAGTTAAACAAATAAATATATTACATTAGATCTATTTAAAACTTCATGTAAGAAATGAAAAAGTTTTTAAAATATTTGCAGTTGCAAAGAAAACTGAAATTCTTGTGAAAACAACTGTGCACTTCTAGAGAGCATTTGTCATGCATTATTCCAGTGTAAGGACATCTCTATCAGAGAACCAATAACTAATAATTATTATTATGTGTTTCCTTTACCATATTTTCCTGCCCCGATATGCTCTAGTTCCAAATGGCAGCACAGGCCCTTTACAGAATGACGGTTTTGATTCCCAGAGGGAAAGGAAATAGGAAAGTATTTAATTTCTTTTGTCTCAACTTTAATCAATTGCTGAATGCCTCAAGGTGAGCACTGGTAATCAAAAGGAAATAACTGGCATGACATTCATCTTTTTTGTGTGACACTTGAAAACCTTTGAGACACACAAAAGAAGGTAATAACACCCAGCAATGGCCAGCGACCCATTAGAGAAACCTGCTGATCAATGAAGGTCAGAAAATTAAGTTCCGCATGAACACATCGATCATGATGGAGGAAGAAGAGGCACTTGTTAGTTTTCTACATGGTGGTGGAGAACTAAAGTCAAAAGCCTTGTTTTTTCAGGAGAGAAGCCAGATTTATCCCAAATTCCTCTGTGGGGTCAGTGACTCGTGGTAACTTTATTACTCAACTGCGGGGTTCAGAAAGAGCTCTAATGCATCAGTCCATAAAGGGCTTTCAAGTTCTGCATATCACCGGTGCCTTTGTGCACCCAGGGACGATCTCCCTCCCTGGCAAAGCTTTAAGAATTCTGCTTCAAAAGAACAAGCCAAGGTTTGAGAATATGACTTGAAATCCAGAGATGGCATAAGCCCAATAGGTGGTAGAGAAAGGACAAAAATACTCAAGATAATACCTTAAATACCCTAATAGAAAGTTTTTCTAATCTCATCACAGCTGCACCAAAAACAAGGCAAGTGAGCATGTTTTCCTCTCTACCATACCCAAATAAGCACTAGAGCTAAGCCGATATGGTGCAATAGCAGAGGTAATGAAATTTATTTATGGAAGGGAGCAAATTAGAGAGCATATAAAAGTTTGTTTTAGGTGTCTCCGAATTCATAAAAAACACATTTAATTGGATAAGCAAATGATCACATGGGAGGACAACAATATTCATGCAGCACTGAATGTTACATTGCTAATTGCTTGACAGTTTGTCAGTCAGGTGCATAATGTGTATTTGTGTCAAGATATGCATTCAGATGTTAAAAATGAAACATCAATCTCTGAATTAAACGCTGCACATTCTTGCTTCAGCCAGTTCTTTCAATCGTCCTCGCTCTCCTGGGCGTCTGAGCACAACGGATCATTATCATTTCCCATTAAGGTATTAAACACACTTGCACCATCCAACTAAGTTAATCGTCAAGGGACCGTCTGTAGTGTTTGCCAATCACCATCAATTTGGATGGCCCAGGCTGCATACAGATGACTCGTTTGTGTTCTATACATGCAGCCATCTTTCTGACACAGCCATCTGGTAATTTGTGTCTGTGCCATTGGTGAAAGAAGTCCTCAAATCTTTCACTTAAGTTCACGCCACACAGTAGAAATCAATGTCCGGTCTCGAAAATGTTACTTAAGTAAAAGCACAAATGTATTAGCATCAAGATATACTTAAAGTACCAAATGTAAAAGTACTCTTTTGCAATAATATGTACAGTACAAATTATATTATTGGATTGTAATTATTGATGAAACTGATGGTCACTTTAATGTTTCTGCTGGTTAATGTGGATCTAAATTTAATTTATTTACATAGACTTTATATTCATACTGCTGAATAACTTGGGAATTTCCCCCTCGGGACCAATAAACCCATCATGACAAAGCTATCATAATTTATTTATTGATTATATTTTTTACTGTTACTTAGAATCTGCAAAGTAACTAATATCTGAAGCTTTTTAAATAAATAAAGTGCAGTAAAAAATACAATATATTTAAAGTAACACTATAAAGTATCGAAAAAAATAGAAGTACAGTACTAAGTAAACGTACTTAATAACTTTCCACCACTGCTTTGTGCATATTGCAGCATCAGATCACATCGTTTTCAACAGGGACATTAGCAGTCACATCAGACCACACTATGATTTCCCACAGAGAGCGAGTGATTAAAAGGACTGGTTCTCACAGCAGCGGCAGAAAAATGGAGACATTTCTCATCCATTACTGATGAGCCTGTTTAGCCTCCATAGATGAAACCAGGGATCTGAGCTTATTAATGATTTATACTTTCAATTTCAAATGTCAGTAAGGGCAAAGTTAGAATTGTTTAAATTAGCTTTTTCCAAGTCATTATATCATTTACAGTAACTGACAGTAAACAAAGGTGCAGAAAACTAAAACCATTTAGGGAAAGTATAAAGTGATCAATTGCATTGACCTAAGTTATTATGGGTCACAAATGATTACACATCTCTATAAAAATAAAAAGGACAGTGCTTTTTTATTGTTCTAATGTTACAAAACTTTGTCTCTCAGCCTCCTAATCACAAAACCGTTCTTACATCAGCCACAAGTTAGAAAAAGGGAAAGATGTATGGGATTATAAATCTCATAAGTATTTTAAACAAATGTCAACATATGTAACTTGTAAAACTCAATGCATAAATAAATGTAGAGTGATGTGTCTGTAAATCTGGATCCGTATCTGTGCCTCTAATTTACAATTTGTACATCATTCATCATGTATCATTTGTACATCAACTTAACATTTGTCAATGGAAATATATTTGTGAATCTCCACCTATTTATGTGGATCCTTTTGAGGTATGCCATTTGTGTCACAAGACAAATCACAGGTGAAGGGAAGATAAAGACTTTCCAGTAGATGGCAGTAATGCAACATCTCAAAACAACATGATATCATGGGATTGTGTATTAATAGAACCTGACATTTTTCTCTCTATGACATTCTCGCGTAACATGACACGGTGTCTCTGCACAGAATAAGACAGCACAGACAAATTGACACGAAAAGCAAAAAAGGCGTTGTGAGAACACCCAAAATTAAAGAGGTCATATGATGCTTTTTGGCTTTTCCCCTCTCCTTTATTGAGTTATATATCTTTCTTGTGCATGTAATAGGTTTGCAAAGTGAAAAAGCCTAAAGTCAACCCCAAAGGGAGTTCCCATCTCTCATAGAAAACACTGCTCTGAACTGCCTGAAAATAGCTTACATTGTAGTCCAGCCTTTACTTCCTTAAACTATCCGCTTTGTAACACGTAACACATTTGTCATAATGCTCGCCAAGCAGCTAGTGTGGCACGCCCTCAAAAACACTGGTGGAGAAACACACTGAG